ATATTAGAGAGAGAGAGAGAGAGAGATGGAGGCAGAATTTTAGACACTAGCTTCTCAGCTAGATCGAATTCGGTCATTGGAGGAGAATTCTGCAGCTCTGATCGGTAGTTTTCCGTGGTTTCTCCGATCAACACCAGTCAAATGCCGAAGCAGAACTCGGACAAACGGGCCACATACCGCGCACGATCTTTCCTACCTTTTCCTTGCCCTATCATTCCCCTTACACACACTTACACATGCATTACACTACCACACTTGCTGGAAGACCGGTCAGGAGCTTAGGCCCAGCTGTGGCTTTCCTCCACTGGTGTGAGATACCTGGTTGGGAAAACCCCGCTAGTCGACGGTATGTCGGCGCCGGATCTTGTCAGAGAGCGAGGAAAGATCACCGCTACCTCCCGAGCAAAAAAACATGCACACTATACATACGGGACTAATGACTAGTTGACGTTCCTGGAATCCATTTTGCTTCATTTTGTGAGTAAGATTACAAAATCCGTTTTCCTCTTAGGGAATATGTGTGAATGCATGAAAATTAAAAAGTCCATAATTCGTTACTGCCTGCTGTTGTTCCTGAATAATGTACTACTTTCGTTTGTGAAGTCGTATTTGACAAGAAGAAAATGTCAAAGTTAGCCACAATCATACAGTGATGCACGCTACTCGTCAAAGTTTCTTAAATGATGTAAATCGCCGAAATTACGTAAATGATGTAGTGCAGTACTACATCTTTTCTCAAGATGTGTTTAATTGATAATGTGAATAAAGGAAGCATATATTTGTGTTACATTGATCTTATCGACTGATTAATTTATTGCCAATCAGACGGACCAACATTAATTCTATTCTATAACATTTTTAAAAGATTGTATATAGTTATATTATAAATAAATAAGTAAATATTTTCCCTTGGAATTAAGGATCAAAACTCGTATGTTAATGAGACGAATTCCGTTAATTCAATTTCAAATCTCAAGCACAATGTTTTAAAAGTTGTTTTCTTCTTATCATTAGGTGATCTGCAAATTTGTAAAATTGTTGTTGAGCTGTGAGTACTAGACATGTTAATTTATTTCGACTAGTACAAAAGACAAGTTCAAGGAAACTCACCTTACAACTACCTGTCATGATGCACCGATGGTCACAAAATAATGTGTAAATGTAATGCCTGTGAATATTTGCGGCAGGAATGGAGGGGTATAGTTCGGGAGTAAGAGAAACGTTCGTAAAAGTGAATCACGGCATTGTTGTCGTTTTATAAATTAATATAAATATACTATAATTAAACATTATATCTTTAAGTTATAAAATACAAATTATATTGAATTTATATTATTATAACATATCGTCGAATATAAATTAACATTATAACTAGTATTCATAACTCCAAACACTTTTTACATTTGCAGATAACCTGATGATAAAAAGCAAAACATTTGAAATGTTGTCCTTCTAATTTATAACTGAAGTATGGAATAAGAAATATTATCACACGAGTTTTGATTGTATACAATACTTCCTTAATTCGAAGGAAGAATATTTATTTATAATGATTAATCGTATTCAGTGCCACGTAGATATTGCAGGTAACTTCAGGTCAGTATTAAAGGTATTGCCTTTTCTAAGAACCGTTCCACTCACTTTCCACTACAAATTCTGAGAGAAAAATCTCTGCGCGTAAAGAAATGGAATCTATTTTGATTCAACTCCCCGCGTCATCGGAGTCCAATTGCTAAGTCAAAGGGCGCGCTTTTCCAAAATTGTATTGCTCTGCCGCCTTTTGAACTATGTGGATCAAGAAAGGCAGCGAGTAATGCGGGTGTTGCACCTTTTTTGTTAAAGAGGAGCGATCCATCGAGGAAAGCATACGTTTGCGTTGAAAGAAATACAGAGTTGCAGCGAGCTGCAATCATTTTGGAACATCACATCTCGTGGAACGACTGACATTCAGTAATGACGAACGAATTTCAGATAGAAATGGAACATCGGTGTGGAAGCAAACTTGCAATAGCAGGAAACGTAACGTTTCACAATTTAGTCATAGCTGCGATATATAAATTTAGAACAGTATTTTATTTCATAAACACACTACACAAACAAAAATTCAATGTACCTGAACTAGGCAAGAGGTTCGATATGTTTGTAAAGTATTGAGCTTCTAAAATACAGTAATTTTATTTATTTGTCTGTAATTCTCTATCCATAAAACATTTAGAATTTCACCTTAGGTGCATACAAAAATGATAATACCGAATACAATTACGAAATGTGCTCGAATGGAGAACACAGAAATCCTTTTAATAATTGAGAGGGGCTGCCACAAATGCTCTGTTCACACATTCTACACACTCATACGTGTCTTCGAGTTACACAGGGGGTATGAATTCATGTTATGATTATAATCAAAATGCTCGGAATAAATAGGCTCTCTGATAATCAGGGCAGGAAAAATTAGAAAACACGCGAGTAAACCTGGCGTGTGCTCGTTTGGTTCCCCGCTAATGGATTGACACGAATTGGAACCACAATTCCAGACATGGACAGCGAGTGCGCTGGCCACAGCCATACGACCACCTATTCTCATTACTTCCGTGAAATGCTCTTAACACGCCAGATAGGCGAGTGGGCTAAGCGGGGTTGCGACTTCGCTGACGCAACCTACCGGGCGCCACCCACCCCCGCCCC